CTCCCCACCCTCTGCGGGAAGAATTCCTTCCTGATGTCCCATCTAAACCGCCCCACTTTCAAACACAGTCTCAGAGGGTGGTCAGATCAAGCAGGCACCTCAGGCTTACCCCTCTCTCCCCAGTCTGCTCTCTCTGACCCCCCCGTTTTCTCCAGCCTGCCTTCCTTCTCCCTCTTTCAAAGCCACCATCAAGACCAGAAAGCCCAGATTCCCCATCCTTAGCTTCCTTAAACTCCACGCTTTCTGCCCTAGATTCTCTGCTCAAGCCATCCTTAAGCTTTCCTTCTCCACAGCTTGTCATTGAACTATTCCCTCGTGCATCCTCCTTCTCATCTCTCCTTTCTCCTCCCTTTGGAGCTGAAGTTTCCTCCTCGCGTGCTCTAAAGGCACACACGAATCTCTTGTCAACTCACCTCCCTTGATCTAAACCCACCATCGCCTGCCAAAGCCTTACAAATTCAGCAGAATTCTTATTTTCAGGCTAAAACACGCTCTGCGCAGGCAGAGCCTGCAGGAACTGAGCTGTGACACAGCCGACGGTTCTTCATAAATTTTCAAATAAAAAAATTTTCTTCAAATTTTTCCAAGGCTTAAAACTTGGCTAAACCAAGACAAGTTTTCAGCTGGACATCAGGAAGCACATCTGACCCTAAAATCAGCCTTTCAGTCTCAATCATCTGTTCCAGAGAGACCAAGCGCATGACTTCAAGAAAAAAATAAAAAGCACAACTGTTTTGCTCATTAAAAGAGTTTCCCCTCCCTGCACTAACCTGCCTCTTGGAAACAGAGGAGGCATTTAGCCAAAACCCTCGTTAAGCGGCCCGCAGCAGCATGTTTATCTCAGTCGCTAAGCAAGGGCCTGGGTTATAGGAGTGGGCCCAGGAGCAGGTCCAGCGCTGGCCAGAGGCGACCGGAACGTGGAGCTGGCAGCGTCAGGAGACCCCACTACGGGATCGTCATTGTGCTGCTCATCACAGGCTGCAGGTCAGCCAAGGAGCTGGGTTTCAGCAGGCGTTACTCCCTCCGCGGGGACGGTGAAGGCGACGCAGCTGGTCACCTGCTGTGACAAGCCACCTCAGCAAGCTCTTACGTTCTCCTCCCGCTAAAAACCGAGTGGCAAATTCACCCAGGCACAAAGCAGGGGAACGGCGGGGTTTCCAACGCTACCTACGGGGATGACAACCAACGAGCCAAAGCACAGAGTCACCTCGTGAGCCCAACCCCGTGTAAAACCAGTCAGACCAGGGTTTCCATCCACCCCCTGGGAAGGGGACCCTCAGCCCCCGTTTCCATCACACCGGCCCTGTTTCAGCACTCTTTGGAGGCTGTGAAGAGCCCCGAAGGCGGTAACTGTTTCTTACTATGACGCCGAGTCGTTCAGCTGATACTCTCTCGACCGGCTGAAGCAGGCCTGAACGCCAGCATCTCTCCACAACCGCTTAATCACGCCGGCTAGCTCAGCGGGCCCTCCGCGCTTCCAGCCAACACGAACAACTGGCGGGCATCGTCCTGCGGGAAGAGGGGACATAAAACACGTTAGGATCTACACCCCTTCACCCCTTCACAAATTGCAGCAAGGCCAACAACCCTAGGGGCTGCAGCAACCGCTCTAGGGACACGCGGTCCCTCTCTCATGCTGTCTGTCCACCCGTCTCCCCCAGATCAGGCTGGTTTTCTCCCACAGTCAGAAAGGTGGGAGCACCTGCTTGGGATCACCGCCCCAAAGGGACAGGCAGCATTCACACCAGGAGCACGAGATCTCCGTAACCTGACGCAGTGTTTCACAGGAAAGGCAGTAATGTCACTGGGCTACCGTAGACTAACGACCTGATAAATAATAGTTAAGTATAATAGTTAAAATAATAGTTTTTAAACCAGAAAACCTCTGTTACAGCGTCGTGCGGTGTGGCAACAAGGAAAAAAGCAGTATCCCAAGCAAGTCTGGGCTGATTACAGGTTTAAGGCTGCAAGAGCTGTCAGAAGTCAGGGAGTCTGATTTCCTAACAGGGCGTTGCATCAGAAGATGGGAGGGACCGATCAAGATGCGAGCGTTTGCCCCAGAGCGTGTAAAATTCTCAGAATTTTAGAGCAGAACCTCACTCTTCGACAAGTGAACAGGCAGATTTTGAAAGTGAAGAACAGCCTGACCTACCTCCCACGCTGATGTTTATCTCTACAGCGACCCGACAGCTTCCTTTGGGGAGATGCAAGAGGCCTTTCGCTATCCCAGCGAGCTCTCAACACCAGGCCGTCCCCTCCTAACATGGGCTCCTCTCCCGCGAGCCCTAACCCGTACCGTCGCTCGGGCAAGAGTCAAGCGGGCACGCTGCTCCAAAGGGAGCCTCCCGAGCAGGAGCAACGGGCACCTGAGTTCATGTCACCAAGGTGTGACCTGCCACAAGGCAGAGGCAGACCTCAGCGAGGAGCCTTCGCAGGTCGGGCACTCGTGGGTGCAGCGCTACGCTGACCGCGTGCGGCGGGGCAGCCGCCTTGGTCTTCTCCTAGGAAAGCACGGCCAGTTGTTTGCCCAACGGGGTGAACTGGGACGTGAGAAAACTCTTGGCACTCAGCTCTTGTTCTGCGTTTGTCAAGCCAGCTAAGCCTGGGCAGGCCGGCTGAGAGAGGAACTCTGATTTTAACATCCTCCTACTTCCTGCTGGTTACTCAGGCTGCGACGAGCGCAGAGGGAAGGGGAGGGGGACGCCGGGGAGGATTCGGAGCAACAGCCCAGGTCAACATGCCAGCGAAAATACTGCATAGCGCAGGTTTGAGATACCTGTGGTTGCACCACAAAGGAAGAGGGTAGGTCACTTCACTCAGCGTATACGAGCTGGAAGCAGGAGGAGTCAGTGACAGGCTGTGCAGCCACTGCCCCGTGTGGGCACACACAATTCCTTGCTCCTACAGATTCTCAGGAGCCTCCAACTCCCCATTCTGTCCATGCTTCCTCACTACCATGGGGGTCAAGACTTCCTGACTTCACTTCCATCATCTTGGAGCAACCTGGTCTAGTGGAAGGTGTCCCTGCCCATGGCAGGGGGTGGGACTGGATGATCTTTAAGGTCTCTTCCAACCCAAACCAGTCTGTGATCTTGAAGTGCGGAAGGTGGATGCCAGTAACAGCCCAAGGAAGCAGAACTGGATGGGTAGGGAAAAGCAGGGCCTCAAACCCCCAAAAAACTAAAAGGACAAATACGAGTAGTGAGTATTAATTATTAAGATTTATTTGCCTCAGCTTAAAAATTAACTGGCACAATGCCAGTGCCACTAGGGCCACTAGTGAAACACTAGAGAGGACTCATGTCAAGCACTTTAAAAAAACCCCGTAGAACTCTGTTAAAAATCCAGGCAGTTTAGACAAAGATTTAGGGAATTTTGGGTTTTTTTGAGCACTCCAGCTACTAAAGGTTCTTACCTTAACTTCAGTAAAACACTCGACGCTTTGTACCGGTCAAACATTACAGACTAAGAAAGGCCCTGCGCTACTGTGTCTCGTAACAAAAGACATTTCCACTGTGTCAGGGACCGAATTTCCAGGATTCATTAACACAATCCACAGCAGACTCAGACTGAGGGAAATCAGCGAAATACTTACTGCTCTGGCAACTTCCCCAAAGTCTATCTTTAGCCTTCCCATGGCTCTTATGATGGCGATGATGGACTGGATAGTATTGCTGTAGACAACCACTTTATACTGTTTGCATTCTTCCTCCGAGTAGCCATCCTCATGAATAATCCTGGAAGAAACCCAAGCCGTCATTCCCAAGCCAAACCAGAAGGGCACCAGGCATTTCTCGCACAAAGATGCGGTTTGCGCGCCTGCGCTCTCACTTACTTCATCTGCTTCACAATCGTGCTTTTCCCAGACTCTCCAGCACCTGGAAAGCACACACACACACACAAAAAAAATTCCAGTTAGCAACGACATGAATCTAAAAGCGGATTGTGCTCTTCCTCATTCCCACGTGGAAGTTAGTGGGGTCTGGAGTAAGACACTTGTGCGTTGCTGCTGGTAACAGAGCTCCAGAGCAGCTTCCCAGCGCCACATCGCACATCCCAGGTACATCCCTCCTGGGCTTTATTTAAAGGGTAACGGGTTTAAATGGGAAGAGGGAGATTGAGATGGGACATGAGGAAGGAATTCTTCCCGCAGAGGGTGGGAGCACTGGGACATGTTGCCCAGAGAAGCTGTGGATGCCCCATCCCTGGAAGTGTCCAAGGCCAGGCTGGATGAGGCTTGGAGCAACCTGGTCTAGTGGAAGGTGTCCCTGTCCATGGCAGGGGGTGGGACTGGGTGGTCTTTAAGGCCCCTTCCAACGCAAACCAGTCTGTGGTTTACAGATGCTGACACTTACTATGCACTCATCTGCTAAAAAACTACCTAGACATTCCTAATTTCCAGATACGCTTCCCGACCAGCGAGGCCAGCCACCCGGGAGGCAGGTCCGAACAACGGGGACGAGGATTTATCTACCGGACCATCCCTCTCTTCCAGCTCAGTACCTACAGTCCAAGGCAGCCCCACAGCTAAGGGCATCAACGTCATCAGCTGCTACCCACCCTCCCTGAGCTGTGCAAGATAAAAGCATCAACCAGGCGGATGCAATCACAGCTCCCGGAGCGTTTTTACAAGGAACATCGAATTCAGACGCAATCTTGTGTGACAGACAGTGGAAGTGGACCCAGAACAGCACAAATGGCTCTTGCAGATCGAGGCCAAGCAGCTTAACCATGTCCCTGTGTCAGAGCAGGAACGCCACAGCGGATGGCGCAAGGTCCCTCGTCCGCTTCGCACGGGGTCAGCCACTACCGGGCTGAGGTGGATTTTTCCACGGTGGAAGGACCAGGCGCGCTCCCACGACCCGTCACCGCAGCGCAGCGCTCCGACAGGACTCCTGAGCTCGATGCCTCCTCAACAGCTCCGGCAAAATTCAAAGGAGAGACCTGTCTAGACTTGAAGAGGCACCGCAAGCGTCACCGGTGGGAGGATGAGGGACTGGGTTCCTGCTCTAACCCCTCAGCTGCCAGCACCGGTTCCCACAGCCACCAGACGGCCCCGGGATGTTCCCCGCGGCCCACCCGTACGCACCCACCCCTGGGCACCAAGGCCAACGTTAACCGATTAGCAGGCTCTAGTCTCCGTTTCCCGCAATACAAGGATTATTTTTCTGGGAAACCAGGATAAAGAGACCCGCAGGTTTAACTGGGAAAGGAGCCTTTGGCACAGCTGGTTTCCCGCTGAAGCAGCAGAGCTGCCGGCCGTGGCACACAGCAAACAGCCCGCTGGCAAAGGTGGGCAGACCTGGCTCCCCAAACCTCGGCGGAGCCAGGGGGGGTGCTGGTTGAGC